GATAACTCTCTGATCTCGCGGCTCGCGCCATGCTACTTCCATCGATAGCATGAGCAACATCCAATGAATCTTCGGCTAGAACATGGAAATATACACTACGTGGTTGAATATGGCCGACCGCGTCATGCTACTTCCACCCCCCCGTGCGGCGCGAAAAAAAACGGTGGCGAAAAAAGAGCCCGTTCATAAAGTCGCGCCGACACCGACTGCCCCCCCAAAAAATGGCAGTAAACAGAAAACCCCGCCGGGCCCACGAAGCCGCGCCAACAGTGCCCAACACCAACCCCCAAAAAAAAACGGCCGTTAACAAAAAAACGCGCCGGGCCCAAGGTGCGCTGGGCCCACGCGGGAAAGGTCTCAGCGGGACGCGTCACGCGAGACCCGCGTTCTCCTTTATATGTATAGAGAAGTCTGTGACATCTGCCCAGATGGCCTGGACTGCATTGCCCGTTAACCTACGGGTCTGGCAGCCTAGAAAAAATCACTATTGGATCTTGCTGTATATCACCCCCCTTGCCGGGAATCTTCAGACAACTAATGGAGAAACAACCCCACAATTAAGGAGAATCTGATAGACCATCTGCCCAACTACGTCAGGCTACTTGTTGCCAGTAACTAGTGACAGTGCCCAAAACAGTGTCGCACATAGGTCTGCTATGATCATATGTAGTGCCATCTTGTTGGGAATCATTCGTGATTAGGAGGAAAGCTGAAGGAGGTATGAGTAGTCGAAGTACTTAGTGCAGCAGGCGACTATTTTTTTTAGCTTATAGTTCTATTGGCCATGTAGGTTACCTTTTAATTGGTTTTTCATGTGGAACTATCGAAGGTATACAGTCTTTACTAATAGGTGTTTTCATTTATGTAATAATGACCATCAATGTATTTGGAATAGTTTTAGCTTTACGCCAAAATCGTTTAAAATATATAGCGGTTTTAGCTGCGTTAGTGTTGACGAATCCTATTTTAGCTATTACAAATGTCTATTACTATGTTTTCAACAGAAAGCAGAGACGTATGACCATTGCTGGCTTGTGGTTGACGCCGAGGGCATAGAAACGGGGAACATTGTTGTGGTTTGTCCACTCTAGTGGAAAACGAGGTAACTTCATTGCATTCTCGATAGAAAATGACAAACATTGTGTTGGCTCGCCTGCTCTGGTGGAAAACGAGATAACTTCATGGCATTCTTGCAGTCTTTGGTGTAAGTGGAGACTTAAACCACTGGTCAATCCCCATGCTCCACTTTGGATGCCGCTTGCTTAATTAGTCCCAAGTCCTTGAAGGCTTTCTCCCTCTCTGGTTTGCTGTTTGTTGTCTTCCATGTGCTGCTTGCGTCTATCTCTATTGTGCTTCTGTATTGCTTCATCCCTTGTTCTAGAATTGTGTTTCTTCATCTCTCTCTCTCTCTCTCTCTCTCTCTCTCTCTCTCTCTCTCTCTCTCTCTCTCTCTCTCTCTCTCTCTCTCTCTCTCTCTCTCTCT